CTGCATGCTCCCCATAAACAGCACATGGATGAGGCACAAACAATTCAGTCTGTGCACATAATGAATGTGTGTTGAACATCTCTCCAGAGGGTTTACAATTCAAATTATCTGCTCCCAAATATAGAACGATGGGAATCAGGCAAAGCATTTACTTCACTGGGTGAAGAGTATTCACCTGGTAGCCAGGTGGCCAAATTCTCCTTTCAAAAATCCTTCTAACTGGCACATCAACAGTGCTAGTGAACTTAGCCACACAGAGATGCAGTGGAGAACTGGGGAAGATGGAAAGACTGGGCTGGGGAGGACCCCCAGGCAGCCAGTGCCTCACCACCCTCCTGGAGTCGCTGGTACTGACTCAGTGGATCTTCTCACATCAGGGAGCCTGCTTCAAGCTGAGCTCTGGGAAAGATTTTCCCCAGACCCTGAGGCTGACATAGGTGAGGACCTCCTGTCCACTTGGCTTGGGTGCAGCACTTCCCTCACCCTCCCCGTTGGTAACTTTTATCCTATTTGGCTGCCTTACAAATACAGGATGAGCCCTGAACGATGCACTGTGTTCCTTCCTTCCCTTCTGTCTCTCCTTCTTCCAAAATGTTTCCTGGTACTTGTTTCCTTAAGGTTACAGAGACTATTTTTCGCCGTGTATTTGGCATACAGAGTGGGACCTGTTTAAGGAGATGCTTGCGACAGTCAGGTATTTTCAAGTGGGTCAGTGAGCAATGGCTGTGGGCAGGTACTCCAGGCAATTATTCTCCATATGCATTTTTTTCAGATTCTGGAAAATACATATGCGTAACTTTTAATAATTAAAGGATTTTTCCTTAGGTTGATATATAATCAATGTACACAGAACGTCAGTAGGTGCAGAAGTAAGGTTTATAAACTGAGGTACCATTGGGATGACTACTAAACACACAGAGACAACATGATTTTCAAACACTGAGTTTTGATATTATTTTTATTCCAGCAGCCCTGGCCTCATGCTGCACCGTGTACCTAAAGAGATCAGGAGAACCTTCAGTCTGGATTTGGGAGCAGCTGAAGTCCACAGAAGTGCCATGCTGCAGCAGACCAAGATCTTCCCCCTTCTATTGCTCCTACCTGCGGTTTGCTGATATCTCCTGGCAGACTTGTGAATTTAATTCCTTTATCTTGTCCCAGGTATAATCTCTCTAATGATTCCAGAAGAAAGATTTCCTTTGGAAAGATACTGAATCGGTTTTCAGACAGGCTAAGGCATTTCAAATTCGTCAGTTCTTTCACAGGTATCTAGACACAGTCATTAAAGAGATACATTACGTCAATTAAATAGTAATCTTTGGGATTATTTTAAGGGAAAAATCTCCAAGAAAATTCTGTGGACCTGCATTATTGTTGATGGATGAACACAGAATATTCTGCTCATTAATATAACATTATACCTCACAGCACGGTGGAAATTTTGGCAAAAAAAATCCATATTGTTTCCTCTGCCGGAAAGATTTCTTATGGGATTAATTTCTCAGCAGAAACATTAGTCTGCTTCTTCATTTCCTTTGTATGCACAGTTGAGGAGAGTAATTTAAATGAATGAAATCTGAAAGTGATTCTTTTGCATAAATTACTACTTCTGTCAATGTAACCTTCAAGAAGAAAATTGCACAAGTGAAAATCTCCTTGGAAAAGAAGCCTTGCATTATATAAAAAGGAAAATGTGTTCTGAGCCCTAAAACGAGTACATCCATGAATAGTTGCACTTATAATAGCACGGATTTAGGGTACATAATAGTTTGTTATCAAATGAACAGCAACTTTTAATGATGTTAAAGGCATTAACAACATCACATCTGGTTTTAAATTGCCCTCTTCTCTGTTTCAGTTTGCAATGTATTGATTCTACGCCAATGCAGCTCTTATTTTCCAGTGTACACAGAAAAACAGACACAAAAAGACTGAAGCAAAACCTCCAGTCAGTATTTAATCTTTACAGTTCAACACAAAGGTCAGTGTTTCCGTGTTCTTGCTTTTCTCTCCCTGCCTGAATACTCGGATGTCGGTGGTAATGAGTTAACCAGGCTCAGGTGCATACCAAGTGGAACATGCCTTCTCACAGTAGTAGAGAAAGATGGCACTTAGTTGTGATGAAGAACTTATATTTTGCAAAAGGAAGGTATCAATAAAATAAAAATGAAAACAAAGGAACAAATACCTCCTGTATCTGATTGTCATATAGGGCAAATACTTCCAGATTTTTCATAGTGCATATTCCTTTAGGAATCTCATCAAAGCAATTTTCACTCAGATCTAATATCCTGGCACTGGTTAATCTGGTGAAGGACCCGGGTACTGTGTGCAGTCCGGAGTTCCTTGGATGAACACAGAAAAGGAATGGCCAACAGCAGATCTGGTGCGGGAACTGCTCCAGGCTGTTAGCAGACAGTCCGAGTACTCTCATTTCAGTGGGATTCTCCAAACGTGGGGAAAGCTTGTGCGGGAGATTGTGAGACAGACCCAGACAACCAGCTTCTGGCAGTGTTGCAGTGTAGGAGGAATGGAGGATAAGTCATTAAAAGCTAAAAATAGCTTAACTGAGTTTGTCAAAAGGCCTGCCTTTTCTGGGATGAGACTGACTAGATTTTTTTTTCCTAATCTATTATTTCTAAATCAGCAGTACGGCAAAGCTCCTTGGGAAAACTCTCAGATCTGTTTTTTGGGAAGTAAATTTCCTTGAGTTTTGTCAAGTTCACTATTTTTTTAGGCAGACACTTGAGACTGTTGTCAGAAAGGCCAAGCAGTTCAATATGATGGAGGTATTCACAGATCTGCACTGGGATTCCATGCAAGTTTGTTTAATAGAGCCTGAGCTGATGAAGGGACTGCAGCTTGCTGACAGCAGGCAGTGAACTACAAGAGAGGGCATTGTTGCTTAAATCTGAGCTCAGAAAACACTTCAGCTTCCCTAGTTCTTCACATATGTCCCGTATATGGTTCTGATCCAAGCAGAGGATCTTCATATGCCTCAGGCAATTGATGTTTCTGGGGATGCTTACAATCTGCTGCTTTACCATGTGCAGCTCTTCCAGATGCTCTAGACTCAAGGCCTCTGGTGAGATGGTTCGCAGTTGCTTAGTGGGTAAAATTATTGCTGAACAAAGCAACCTCCTTGAGTCTTGATGGCCTATATTTACAAACACTGTCTGAGATCTGTCTTCAGCTGTGCTGACTGTGAAACTGCAAAAAGGTTGCACTTTATTCTGTCGCATTGTGCTTTCTGAGCCAGAGAGATGCCAGCAAATCTGGTATTCGATCACCCTCAAAGCTGGATTGCTGATACTGAAGGAGCATGAGGTGCAAAGGTACCTGACCGACCTCTGACGTACGGACAGAAGAAACCTTTCAGCTGGCATTTAAGGAATGGTAAGAGAGAAAGTGGAGGTCAAAAGGCAGCTTCAGTCATCTCCCACTGATGTGGTTTTCTCTGCTGCTGCAGCTGTGCCAGGAGGACATCCCATTTCCAGAGATGGGCAGTTTCCAGGTGTCACCAGGGCAAAGAAGAACTGAGAGACTACCACAGGGAGAGACCCAGGCAGGGCTTCCAGTCTAATTAGGATGTTGCACAAGAGTATTTTCTTTTCCTTTGGCTCTGAGTTCAGCACTTGTGTGCGAGTCCCACACGCTGTTGGACGGGAGAGTGTGCCATCCCAGCCCACCCCCTCCGGAGTACAAGGGCAGTAGTGAAGTCACTGGAAGGATTTATTTGATGGAAAGGACCAGCACAGCCACCTTTGAAGTAACTGCTAATCCATGTAACCACAGAAATTTTCGCAAAGGCTCCTCAGAGACCGCAAGCAGACCGCTAAGTAAATATTCTGAAGGTGAGCTGCTGAAAGTCCCCTCTCCTGCCCCAGCCCTGGGCTGGCCTGGCTGCTTTCGCCCACTCCCTCCTGGTGGAAGGCCCAGGACACCGTCCTTGGCAACGGGCTCCATGACCAGACATTACTAACCTTGGCGCAGCCCAGCTCAGATGCCAGGCAGAGCTCACCCGTGGGCCGGGCACCGTGGGGAGAGAGGCGCAGGCGTTGAATGCTGAGGTAGGTCTGTGAAGACTGGGGCCCAGCTGCCTTACGTGGGGAAAAAGGACCTCCCTGTATGAATATTGATTCTTTGTTAGCTCAGGTCCCACGTGTTAGCAGATCAGAAACACATCCACAAGTTTGCATTTTTTCCTCCAGTTTTTCCTGTCTGTATCTGTTATTCTTGTGTTTCCTTCCAAGAGTTGTAACCCTTTTCAGACTAAGCCCATTTTTATTGTTATGCAGAGCCCTGGCAGAACAGGCTTAGGTCCATGGTGATGTTGCTAGGCTGCTGTAACACTTTTGTTTTGTTTTCCTGCAGGTCATGTCAGTTCCTCCCTATCTTCACCAGCACTATGTGTGGGCGTGCCAAAACTTGGGCCAACCTGGAAACCCTTTCATTGCTCATGTGCTTCAAGAAGCTGATAAAAATGATAAAAGGTAAGGAAATAACAAACAGCGTGTTTTAGCTGCTTCTGAAAGGCTTAAACAAGATAGATAGCAGGACAAAGAATTAAACAATGAGAAAGTTTGTGTGGTTTCAGGCTTAAACACAAATCATATTTAGCATTTACTGCAGAAGTTCTGGCTTGACTCATCTTGACATCATCCTGGCAGAAGTCTGTAGCTGTATATCCCTTCTGGGCAGCTTTACAAGCAGTGAAATCAAAAAAAGTGAAAAATGTACAGGATGGTGCCTTTGTGTCCCATAGAGAAGCCAAACCTAGTGTCTAGTCAATCCTCACTCCCTTCCTTTTGTCTTGCTCCTGTTTAAAAAGTGTCAGCTGCATCTAGTTAGCTTCCAGCTGGTAATGTTTCCCTGAACTGCCTCTGAATCCTGCCAAGGTATTAGCCACTCAAATTCTCTCAGTATGTAGCTAGGTAGAGCTTCCTTTCATGGATGCTCCTGGGGTCAGTTAATTGTCTTTTGGAGAGAAAACCTGAGAAAAGATGGCAGAGGGAAATGGTTTGTGTTAGGTTTTGATCTTGAGGGCAGGGGAGAGTAAATAAAGGAAAGGGAACAAGTAAAAAGGCGGTGAAGAGGTAACCTCCAGGATAGTCTCCTCTATTTCTATCTGCCTTCCCTTCATCTTGCTTCTTTCTGCTTTCTGTGCGTGTGTGCTAAGTGTGGTCTTGCAGCTGTGCAGTGCCTTCGGAACATGGAAAAGGAAAGTGCTGAGGTACACCTTGAGTCACGTCATCTGCTTTGGTGTTACCAAAGAGAGCAGCAGCAACCAACTGTATGCAAACGCATCAGTGAGGGCAAGCGTGGGTACACTAATTTGGAGAGAAAGTTCATTTTTCTGTATTGTTTTACTTCTCATGTACTTACATTTTTATGGTACAGTGGATGGACAGAAGGGATCACACTAAAAATAGCTGGAAACAATCATCTGGTGCCCGTGCAGAGAGTTACAGATGATGATCTTCAAGTTCTTGCCTCTGTCTTACGCAATGCTGTGTTTGTCACAGGTAAGCTTTTTTCATGCATGTTTGACATTGCTGTGCTAATATGAGAAAATGTAAGCAGTCTTGATTTCAGCCTTAGTTAATCTTTACTTCGTTTTGTTTAGAGATCCATTAATTGTAGATACGCATCTGTCACATTCTTCATCTTTTTCAGGTTTGGATCTTAGGTGTAATGTGTTGACTGATGCTGGAGCAAACCACATGGCAAGATTCCTCCAGGTGCCAAACTGGTGTTTATCATTCAGCAATTTGTAATTTATTTGGCTATGAGAATCTTTATCTGTGGTAAATTGGAGACAGGAGTGCATTGGTTTGGCAAAATTCCTTTTATTTTGACTTTCACATCCAAATCCATCCCACTTGAATCTCAGATTGTATTCTCTGGGGAGATTTTAAATTTCTGGTAGAAAACCATTTGACATTTGGCTAGGGTGTCCTGAAGAAAGAACAGTGGGCTAAACTGTGGGGTTTTTAGGCTTACAGTTCAATTCAATGAAGGTAGTAATGGTAGTGCCAAGTGTGCCAGGGCCTTTGGTTTTAGGTTCTTTATCATCTCTGTTAGTCTTTTTGTAGGTCTAAATGTAGGAAACTTTAATGCTGCCTTTTCATCATTGTAAGCACTGGAATGCAGATGGAAAATGTGAGTTGCCACTCAGTGCCTGTGTTCCTGGAGCTCAGGAGTGCTATTAAGTTTACAAAATGCGTGAAGGTCTGCATCTGAGCTTGACTTCCTGCCTCGTTTGGTCATGCTGAGCACGCAGGTTCCTAAGTTGTTTCTTACTAAGTCGTCTGAGCAACCTGGTGTGGTGGAGGGTGTTCCTGCCCATGGCAGGGGGGTTGGAACTAGATGATCTTTGAGGTCCCTTCCCACTCAAACCATTCCACGATTCTATGATTCTGTAAGCCCCATGAGGACCTACGCACTACATGTCTTTCTGCCTTTCCATCATCGTATGATGTACTTTGGCATTCTTTAGCTACTTCTCCAAATCAGGGGCTGCCTGGAACGTGGCAAAGGACAGAGGTTGTAAATGTATGTATGAAACATATCCTTTTTGAAAAATGCGGGTGTGATCCAGAAAACTCTGCTTTCTGCTTTGTTTGTTCCCAAGGAAAACTCCACTCTGCGGTATCTTAACCTGATGTTTAATGATATTGGCACAAGTGGAGCAGAGCTGATAGCAAGAGCCCTCCATGTGAGTATTTGTCGGGGAGATGTAGACAATGGCATCTAGTTTGATATTTTTGCTCTTGCTGAAGGGCGCTCGCTGTCCTGCCAACATCAGAGCTGGCTGAAAGAGCCCTCTGTCTTCAGCCCATTCAGCGTTTCGCTGTATCACAGGAATTGCTTGTTTTCCCAAGGCAGACTTCAGAAATCAGATTTCACACAAGAGAAAGTTGCACTGTGCTGCCATTAACACTTAATTATCACAACTATCCCAGGAAGTTTTTTGTGTGTGAAAATGCTGTGCTATCCTATAGGATATATAATGCCATAATTTCTTTCCTTTTTTATTTCAATTGGATTAAATTTGCCTGTACCTTGATGTCAATATTTGTCTCGATTCAAGATGTCTGAGACATGTTTTCAAAACTTCGCCTCGCTGCAGCAGCATAAAAAGTTGTTTGTTATTTTTAATGTGGTTTCCCAAGGAAATGAGGCTTGTAAGATCTGTTGTGTTTGTGAAACGAGACCCACGTGAGCTCTTTCCTCCTCCTTTGTAGTCTTTGAACTCTGAACTGATTTCAACTCGATTTGACAAGCCTCCAAAATGCTAAGCTTCTACAGTAACTTGTACAGCACCGGGCTTGCTACCAGCCCCAAAAGCTGTTTGTGCAGCCCCATGGCAGCTGGGTTTGCTGGGCAGGTGGGTGGCAGGACCTGACCAGGCAGGCAGCCCCTTGGCTGTGTGGGATCCCACTGCCAGAATAGGCAGGGTGGGATCTGGAGGTGAAGGGGGTGTTTAATTGAGGGTGGGAGATGGAAGGAGCTGCCATAGTGAGGTATCGGAGTGGGGGGAGAGGTTCTGGGGACGTGTGGAAGACATAAAAGCTGTATGAAACCAAGTTTCAATAGTTCTGCTGCTTACAGAACTACTTGTTTTGTAGTCTCTCACTTAATCAGTCATAATCTCTGGTAATGAGTGATTATGGTGGTACTGAGGAATTAAAAATATAAAACTACATTGCATTTAGGGCTTTAACAGTGAGTAGATATTTCATATCCATGGAAATGCTTTGGAGGGTGAGGGGAAAGATGCTGACTTCATCCTAGACTTCTGATCAGAACTTTATATTGTCAGTGAAGTCTGCAGTCCTGCAAAGA